GTTGGTGGACCTTCAGCCTCACCCACCCGCACTAATAGCGGGCTGTAAAAGCATTTCTCCAGATAATGGGCTCGCTTTCCATTGCTTATCAAAGAATCAATATTACAGGAGAAGCTACGTTGGTTGGGTTGGCCTTAAAGCAATAAGGGTCATTTCTGGGAAAATGCAAAACTGTTAAAGGTTTACACTGTTGAAGAACTTGCAGATAGGTGTGGTCTACACTTAAGAGCAGCATCTGGTCCATTTCTATTTCACAGAAGTCGGGAGTGCATTTCTGGCCCAGGAGGGGATTACTAGAGACAGGGCTTTGGTCTCCCCCAAAAGGTAATGGATTCTTTTCTAAAAAGAAAGCTTTCTGGGATGCGAGCTCTAAGTTATCCCTTTGGACCATTTGGGAAATGGCTCTTCTCCACCTCAGATCATGAAGTAGGCTGGACGTCAAAGGAGGAACCTTTGTACATAAAGCAACGAAGCTTTGGTGGATGTAGCAGGGGTACACTCATGGAAGGAAGCCCCTCTCCAGGAAGGCTGAGTGGTGGGTCATGGAGGGGCCCATCTGGGAGGAAAGAGTTAGTGTCCAATAGCACCCCCCCCCCCCAAATGTAGGTTTGGATGGTGTGATGAAGAGCAGCCCTTCAAAGGGGGTGGGGGGGCACTGATCAGGGTGGGAGGGAGGTGGACCAGAGTGTACAATGGAGGACTTTCAGGCAGCGGGGGTGCGGATAACTAAGGGATGGAGCTGGCTTGTGAAGCTCAGTCCACACAGCACTTGCTTCCTTCTATCTTGCAGAAAGAGGAATCCCAGCTGCCTCCTTTAGTAACCGCTTCTTTCAACACGAAAGAGTTGCATGCTCTCTAATATTCTTTTGTGTCCCGAACTGAGGAAAGGCTGCGAGGGAGAGAAGACCCATCCCACATTGCCACTTCCTTTTTCTTTTGTGCCACGTCTTAATTAGATTGTAAGCCTGAGTGCGGGGGACTGTTCTGTTTTTCTTTTACTTGTGAATGACCGAGTGCAGTGGGGACACGGAATCTGGACACATCATGAAAGTGAGCAGTAAGAGCTGCCTCCTTTAGTACTTTGCACAAGAAAGAGTCTCGGCAAGAAGAAGCCAGGGAACTGCCTATCCGCTCTCAGTGTGTCTTTCTCTTCTGTGTGGTGTGTGTGTTTTTGCACAGGAATTTTCACTTCTTCCAGGAACTCCATCCTTTGTGAAGGTTTTAAAAATGTCCAGAGTCCGCAAAAGTAAGGCTCTTCAGACTTTTGAATCAGGTGCAGAGAGGTAAGAAACCATTGGGTCCATCTCTTGCTAAGTTCTTTGCCCTCTGTTTAAGAATCATGGGATCACAGAGTTGGGAGATACCACAAGGGCAATCCAACCCAACCCCCTTCTGCCAGGTAGGAAGACACAATAAAGCCCCCACTACAGATGACCATCAAGCCTGTGCTTAAAGACCTCCAGAGAAAGAGGTTCCACTGAACTTCCAGGCAGTTGCAGATTCCTCTGTTAAGCAGCTCTTGCCACCAGGGAGTTTTTCCTAATGTTCAGAGGAATCTTTTTCTGCAGTTTGGATCCATGGGTCCATTTTGTCCTAATCGCCAAAGCAGCAGGGAAATAAGCCTGCTCTGTCCTCACAGTGGCATCCTTTCAAATATTTCAACGTGGTTCTCCAAAAGAAGCACCCCCAGCTCCCTAAGTTGCTCCTCAGAGGCATTCATGGCCTCCAGAACGTTGGTCATTCTGGCCGTCCTTCTCTGAAACTGTGTCCATATCCTTCTTGATATTATGAGCATGCTTTGTCATGGAGGGCTCCACATTTTGAAAGGAAGAACCTGCAGGTGTGCAACATGGATAATGCCCTGTCTGGATATGTTCACACTCGCCGCCACCTTCTTAAAACTAGTTCTGAGGCAACCGAGTTCACCTTCTAGTAAGATCAGCTCTGTCTCTTTTTTCCACTGCCTTGTTCTTCAGAGCCATGGAAGGAGAAATCCGAACTCAGGATTATCCTGGTTGGAAAGACCGGAGGCGGGAAGAGCACTACAGGAAACACCATTCTTGGCCAGAAAGCGTTTGAGTCCGTTGCAGCACCAAAGACGACCACGCTCAGGTGCCAACGAGAGACAGGGAAGTGGAGAGACTTGGACTTTTCTGTGATTGACACTCCAGACCTTTTCGGCACCTCCAGCAGGATCCTGCTGCCAGAGATCAGGCGTTGCATTGAGCTCTCCAGGCCCGGCCCTTACGCCTTGGTGTTTGTGACCCAGGTGGGCCGCTTCACTGCCGAAGACAAGGTGGCAGCCAATCAAGTCCAGGCTTTGTTTGGGGAAGGGGCCTCCAGGCACATGGTCATCCTCTTCACTCGCAAGGAGGATTTAATTGGAGATACCTTGGAGGACTACGTGTGGGGCTCAGGCAATCAGGCTCTCCAGGGGCTATTTCGGAAGTGTGGGGCGCGCATGTGTGCTTTCAATAACAGGGCATCTGGGGAGGAGCGGGAGACGCAGGTCTCTGAGCTGATGGAGGTAGTCCAGCGAATGGTGGAGGAGGAGGGAGGCAGGCATTACTCCAATAGGCTCTACATGGAACCTGTCTTAACCGACGAAAAGATCCACGCGTTCATGGCAGAGAACAGAGGCGTCAGGCCAAAGCCAAGGGGAGGCTGGAATTTGGAAAGGACGTGGCTGAAAAAAGGGCTGCTTGCTCTTGGTGGTTGTGCTTTGGTCATTGGCGTGATTATATTGACCATTTATTTGGCAAAATGTAATCAATAGGTGTTGTGATGTGATTTTTTATGTTGAATAACTTTTGATGAATATTAACTGTGAATTGTTTATTTCTTCTTTACTGTTTGCATATTTGCATATTTTAAATTGTATACTAATGCATTTATGTCAAGTCTCTTTGTGTCTCCTTTGAGGAAATAAAGTGGGGTATAAATACATATAATAATAAACATAGTAATAATCTTATGTTTTAAAAGGGGAATTTCAAGTGGTTGTGCTCAAAGGCCAGAGAGGTAGTGTTCTGTTGCCGCTGGAGCTGAAATTAAGGGCCTTTAAGAGAGGATGCAAGGCTTGCGTCCAGCGGGAAGCCCGGGGGCCTGAGAAGGAATCTTTAGTGAAATTTCACCTATTAAACAGGCTTTAGGAGGCTTAAACTTAAATATAACAGTCTTTATTAATGAACAAACAGGAATCGTAAGCTTTCTAAATAGTCTATTGGCTCTTGCAGTCTTGTTTACAGGAAACAGGCACTATCTTCAAGAAATTTTGTTTAACAGAAAAAAAAATCCCCTTTATAGCTCCTCCCAGGCTGCTGTGAACTTAAACCTGACTGGTTTGAGTCTGCTACCAGCTGAACTGCGTCTCAGAACCGGACAGATGTACCACCAGGCTTGAAATCACTTAGCTGAAGATGAAGAGCTGTTATTCCCTCCGGAGGTCCTCAGGGCTGTGAAGCTGTTCCCTGGAACCCTTTGGGAATCTGTAGCGGCCTTTAAAACAGTTCTCCCCCAGGAAGTCTTAAAAGACGAAGCCTTTGCACAGGAGGAACGTCTGTATGCATCCTCTGCTTTGGCTTCCCTTGCTGTGACAAACTGAAAAATGGCCCCTTCCCTCCAAAAGCAAAAAGGGGGCGGGACCAGGGATCCTAACTATAATTGGCAGGTGGCTTACCCTATAAATGCAAGTTATAACAGGAAACCCCCTGCTGCAAAATCCCAAGCATGGGATTGCACACAAACATTTAAACACATCAAATAAATCTGGAGCTCCTGGAACAGCTGTTCCAGAACAGGTAGACAATAAAGCAACTCAACGTTTTCTATTATCTCAGATGCAGCGAAGATGGCCACTGTGTTTTCCAGGATGCAGATTTTCCAGCTCAAATGAAAGAAAGAGGGATGGCAAATGATATGAAGAGTTCAGGAAAGGTGATTCCACCCAAACATTAGGAAGAAGTTTCTGAGTGTGAGAGCTGTTCAGCTGTTCAGCACTCTGGGGCAGAACTCTCTGCCCCAGAGTGTGGTGGTGGAGGCTCCTTCTATAGAGGCTTTTAAAGAGGGGCTGGATGGCCATCTGTTGGGGGTGCTTTGAAGGTGATTTTCCTGCTTCTTGGCAGAAAGGGATTGGACTGGATGGTCCATGGGGTCTCTTCCAACTCTAGGATTCTAGGATTCTATGATTCTAATGCAAAGGGGGTTTGTGCCAAATTAACTCAAGGTGTAGAATGAATGCGGCGTGACTCCACTTGACCTGCCATGGCTCAATGCGATGGGATCCTGGGAGTTGTCGTTTTGCTGAAGTACAAGC